GTATGCCCACTTTGTGGGGTTATCACACCCCTTTTCAACAGCTACAGTAGCAAAAGTCTTCTTGGACACAGTTCATAAGCTACATGGGTATCCTGTAAGTATGGTCACTGACAGAGACAAGGTTTTCACAAGTCATTTTTGGCAGGAGCTATTCAGGCTAATTGGGGTGCAACTGGACATGTCATCAGCCTATCACCCACAAACAGATGGGCAATCAGAGAGGCTGAATAGATGCCTTGAAACCTACCTAAGGTGTATGGTGCACCAGAATCCCAAACAGTGGCATAAATGGCTACCACTTGCTGAGTTCTGGTACAACACCAATTATCACACTGGGTTAAAGATGACACCTTTTGAAGCCTTATACGGTTACCCACCCCCAATGACGTGCCTAGGGCCTTACTTACAAACATCAAACACAGACACCAAAGAATTCATTCAACAAAGGCAAGTTGCATTACAAAACATGAAAGAGAACTTGCAAGCAGCCCAGAACAGAATGAAAATATATGCAGACCAACACAGACAAGACAGAGAATTTCAGGTCGGGGACCAAGTTTTTCTAAAATTGCAACCTTTCAAACAGAATACAGTAGCCATGAGGAAAAATGTGAAATTGACCTCAAAATACTACGGCCCCTATACAGTGATTGAGCGAGTCGGTAAGGTGGCTTACCGCCTAGATCTGCCGGAAGGTTCACGAGTACACCCGGTGTTCCATGTGTCTCTGCTGAAAAAGAAGGTGGCATCGTCAGCTCCGGTAACTGCAGATCTACCTCCGACTACCGAGGATGGGCTGTTTGAAGTGACGCCGGCGGGGGTCTTGTCTCAGCGGGTGGTAAATCGCCGGGGACGAGATGTGAAACAGTGGTTGGTTCAGTGGGATCTCGATCAGCAGGAACTCGCAAATTGGGAAGATGCCGCGTTCATTTCGAAGAAATTTCCCTCATTTAATCCTTGGGGACAAGGATTTGCTCATGAAGGGGGTATTGTTATGAACTCTGAAGCTAAAGAGAGAGGATACGGGTTTGGATTTGAGGAGCTCAACGATGGAAAAGGTGGAGTCTTGGGAAATGCAGAGGTTGGGAAAATTTGCCCTGATTAGAACAATGCGAGTGAAGGAGATAAGTTGATAGTGGGTGAATTAGATAATGGACCAATTTAAGAAGTGGGCCAAAGAAGTTAGTTTACTTAATTATCTAAGTATTTAGTATGTTATGTTTCAGTCTAGGGTTACGGCCCAATTTGATGCCTAAGTAATTGTAATGGCCCATGGCCTTATTATTAATATGAGAAAAATCTCGCACATGGCCAAGTTTTGGCAGTTACACTCTTTTGTCTTTTTCTCTCTCAATTTCCCTCTCATCTGTCTATCTCTGCAATTTCCCCCATTTCTTCCTTACAAATTCAGCTTGTTTATACGTAAAATTCATCAATTAAAAAAATACAGAAAAATACAAAAAAATTAAAAATAGAAAACCCATTTCATAACAAACAATTACTTGATCAAAATTAATTTTGAAAATTATTTTCTTAATTCATATTGTTTTTTCATGAATTAAATTCTGATTTATTTTTGTTTTTTTTTTATATTTTTATCTTTTTAAAGTATTTGTTTCTGTGCAAATGCACAGATTGATTACTAGTGGTTGGTAAACTTAGGCCACATTTGTGTTGGGATCTGTGAGGATCTCGTTATGTACAAATCACGAATTCAATAGCAAACGTAAACCTATGCGCAGCGGATCTAAAGGTTTGACGTAGAGAACTTACGGCTTAAAATTTATGTAGATCTGGTTGACCACGAACGGTTGACCGCAATTGATTGACCGCAACACGCGTCTTGGGTTGCACGAACAAGATCAGATCAAAACTGGATCAAACGGATGCAAACAGATCAAAACGAAATTTTGCTGCCAGACACCTTCCGGCGGCGCGTGAGGGCGCGTGCGGCGTCGGATTCCGGCGACGTCGGCGGCGATGGAAAGCTCTCGTCGAGACGGTCGTCTGGGTATACTGTACGTCTCAATCGGACTTCCGGTTAGTTCTGTAGGTCAAAATCAATTTCGTCTCGGTTTACCTACAGATCTTCTACTGTATTACTCAATACACCCTTCTTCAACTTGTACCAGTGGAGCAACAAGAAGAAGATAAAGCTCGAATGAGATCTAGAGAGAGAGGCGTGTTTCACGTGAGAATGAATTCTATTCTCTTCTCATGAGCTTAATGATGTATATATAGAGCTACAGTAGGGACCCTAAGGAGATTAGGAAAAGGGCTCCTTAATTAATTAGACTAACTGTGGGCCAAACCCACTCCTCTAATTAATTAAATAATATTAATGGGCCACCAACATTATATTATTGCACTCCCTTTCCCTAGCCCAAATTACATTTGAGACTCCAATAATAATTACTCGATTTACCTCCCCACGTTTAAGATATAATGTCCATTAATTAATTCGATTACTGACAATCAAGAATTAATTAATTTATTATTATTTCACCGAAGCTAGCGCTCGTTCATCACATTCTTATTATGCCGGAATTTAATCCACCTGCAGGGTTTAGCATAACAATCCTTCATGAACTCACTCCGGGGACATCATCAAACTAACGCACATGGTGACCGTAAATATCCTAACAGCACATCCTATATATAATAATATTACCCAAAACAGTAGGAATATTAATCCAGCGAACTGAACCTCACCCATGTGAATCAAAGTAATATATATTATATATATCTGCCTGTTTAATATCTTACGGGTTAAGAGAACGCAGTAATTAACCGAGGCCTAGTTCATTTACGACGATCAGTATAAAATGAACTTCTCCTCTCTGGGATCCTGTTCAATACATAAATGTACTAGTGCAACTAATCAGTCAAGACAAACTGTACAGTTGACACTACAACCGTTCGGATGGGGTGTTCATGTCCATCTAGGTTGTGAACAACTATTCTTGTTCGCAAGTGACTGACAGAGTGATCTTCGGTTCGCCCGATGACGACCCACCCTATCTAAGTGCAGAACAACAGAACGTAGAACTTGTTTAATCTAACATGATTCTCATTCATAAAGGGTAAATGTGTAATAACATGCAAAGCCAAGCTTTCAGTATATAACACTAACAATTTGCTCCATCTGACGGGATACAATAAAATTAGTCTTGTTTAACAGGATTGTAGTGTAGAGAAAAAATGAATTCATTGTTTGTTTTAATGGGATTGAACATTTATTGGAATGTGGGACATATTTACATTCGTAAGTTAGGACCGAACCGCAAAAATTCAAAAAATCGAACTTATAAAAAAAATAATTGAACCGCACTGTAACTTAGAAAAAGTAGAACCGAAACCGAATCGATATTTTTTTTTCTAAAATAATCGAACCGCACAGCACCGAATGCACGGTTCGGCTCGATTTTCGGTTTTACCTTGGTTTTTCTATACATTTATTCAATTTGTTCCGGTTCAGTGCAAAATCGTAGCGGACCGAACAAAATTGGAACCGAACTTATGAAAAACTAAAAAAAAATGACTCAAAACCAAACTGAATAATTTTTACATTAAAAAACGAACCGAACGCACCGATTTGCACGACTCAGCTCAATTTTTCGATTTCGGCTCAATTTTTCCCACTCCTACCAGTAACCCCCTCATCGAAACAGCCCTCATTGTTATTTTCTTCTCTATTTTTTTCTCCTTTTGATTCATTTTTTCCCTTGCAGTTCACATGGCGTCTAATTTAATTTCCAAGACAAATTTTACTCATTTTAGCAAACATTTCCAATATCCAATTTAATTTTTTTTCACCAATTTCAGTTTCTTATTTCAATATTTCTTGTGGGATTTCATGCATAATCTATATCTATATATATAAATAAAAAAAGCATTTATTAAAAATAGTACAAAAAAAAATATGAGAACATTTAATGCATACTTTATTTAAAAACTTTTTAATGCATATCCGATTTGGAGTGCATTTGATAAGCATCATAATCTACCTTGTATCTCATTTCGTTAGCTTATAAACTTTATGTATACAAATGTTTGGTATGGTGGGATGAGTTTTTTTAAGAAGTTCGAGTTTATATCATAAGCTTATTTGGATATCATTTCAAATAAGCCGATTGAATTTTTTATTTCAGCTGGCTTATAGCTAATTTTACCAAACACTTTTATCATATCAGTTAGCTTTTCAGCCATAAATTGTCACCTATAAGCTCAAAATTCACGTATATATACCTTATCAATTGAGGGGACTCATCAACCAATTTTACCAAACATAGTCTTTGTGTATATCATGTGTAAGCTCTAGGTTATTTCTGCCCATAAATAACCATGTCTAAGCTCTAGGTCATTTCGGCCTTCCATATCCTGCTCCTAAATTGTCTCCTCAATGATTCACATGATTCTCATTTTCAATTATCTCAAAAGACCCAAAAAAAAAGCTTATTAAGAGTCCAATGATCTTTCCATTGTTTTATTTTGTTACCATATGGCACAAAAAATCTTATGTGTCATAGAAATTGTCTATAAGGCTTTCTAGATAGAAATCTTTTAGACAACTTCTATTATATATTATATTATTTATTCAATTTATTTCTTTTCTCCAACGTAAAAATCTTTCTAGACAACTTCTATTATATACATCACAAATAATACTACAATTAACACCAACTATTGGAGACACAATTTTTTAATTTCCTTTCCTCATGTCATAAAACACAATTTCCATTAGAAATGCTCTAACACTCAAACACCACACGATTCTCATTTTCAATTATCTAAACGAGACAACAAAAATAGCTTACTAACATCTCAAACACCACAATTGCAAGCATTAACATCTCAAACACCAACTTTCTTCATATATTGTTACAAATTTTACAACCCTACAACGATATTCAAATCGAATACACTACTTGGGAT